CAACAGTACAATGAGATGTCTGAGGCTTTCGGCGCCGACGGCGAGGCGGATGAAGGGGGGTGGTATGGCTTGGGGCCGGAACATCTCCTGCACTTCCGCAACGGGTTCACTTCAGGTACGGTTGTCCAGCGAGACCGTGGACCGGACGTTGGCGAGGCTGAGCTTTCTGTCGCTCATTTTATCGTGTGGGCGGAGAAGTACTGGGGAAAGAAGTTGGACAAGTGGCTCGTCACATCAGTCGACACGGGCTTGTGGATGATCATCCTCTTGGCAATGAGCACCGGCAAAATCCCGCCTAATGTATCGATAAGGTGGACGTTACCGTGCAGAGGATTGTTGGGGGAGCTGCGAAGTTCCTATTGGTCAACCGAGTGTACAACAAAATCGCCGACCTGAAGGACGGGAGCGAATCTGCGTGGCCGGCGGCAGACTTCCAAGGCTGCATTCCCACCGCTGACGAGAATGTGCGCCTTTTCGCTCTGATCTACCTTCTGGCGGGCTGCGACTTCCTCCCTGCCATGTCCGGCCTGCCGTTTTACAAAATGTGGATACTTTCTCTGAAAAGCGTGCGGGCTGAGGGCGTGTTCAACCGTTCCCTATTCGTGATGGAGGATGGGGTGTGGACGGTTGACATAGAGCAGAGCATCAAGCTTCTCGCGACCATTTTCTACTTCAGGTACGAGGCAGCATTTGCCGGTGTTACGACCACTCCAGGCGATCTGCTCCGCAGCGTGAATGACAGCGTCAGGAACTACGTGGACCTCATCCGAGTGGCCATCGTCAAGCTTGGCAAGAAGAGGACGACAGACACCTGCCCGACTTATAGGTCGATGCGCGAGCAATGCTTGAGGATGAAGTTTGTCGACGGGTACTGGCAAGATGGATTCAAAGACCACATGCCAGAACGAGACTTCAACGGAAAGGGTTGGGGTATCAACCCCAAGGCGAAGGGCAGCAATGCGTCAGCACTCACAGGAGAGAATTGCGTTATGTGGGTGTCGGAGCATTCTTCCATCGGTCCCGATGGGAAGATGGTCACGATGACGTGCGGTTGCGACCCGGTGAAGGCCTTAGACTACAGTCAATAAATAAAACAAAAACGCATGTACTTCTTCTGGAGTATGCATATCCCGATCATACCGACCGGTCGAGGATGTGGCAGAGGATCCAACCGGATCTATCTGTGGGCTTGCCTCTGGGCTGGGCATGCATTTGCAAAGAAGAAAACAAGAGATACCTGTTGCCACGGTCGCTTCGCCAGGGGCGTCATATGAGGGGGGCGGGGGGTTCTGCGGTGGAAGGTTTTGCGTAAGCTTGAAAAGGGGTGCATCGCCAGAGTTTTCGGTGCAAGCTCCGGATGGTCCGTTGGAGAAGGAGATCAAGGTGCGTCAACTCTTTACTTTGTTTGGCGCACGGTGTTTCGTGTCCACTGCGTCTTCCACGACCGCAAAATTGTCACCAAGAAGTAAATATTTAACATCAGAGAGTGCGCAGTCACGAAGGCTTCCTGTCTGTTTTGTGCGCAAAACAAACGCTTGATCTCAAGAAACTCCGAACTTGATCCTCTGTGTGTGTGTCCGTCGTCAGCAGGTGTTTGTCCGAGGCGGGATGTTTTCCTGACTATGGCAGACTCGCCACGACGGGCCCTCATCATGCTGTAATGCAAGCATCCAAAGCTTCCACCACTGCATCCGTCCCCGCTGGGTCGTGAGACAAACTGGAGGGCACCATCACAGCATTTTCCAAGACACACGCTCATCCACCTGCAGGTCGCAAGGTGGGAAGTTTGTACACTTTTATTTCCTCTCTGCTTCAGATTTGCACGTCGATATCGCTTGTGGACTACCTCAAAACGTTCATCGCCTAACCTTGTGCCTGAGGACAACTCTTGTACTCTATGCCGGTCTGTTTTGGCTACTTGTATATTATTGTAGGTATACTCCGGAGTACCGATCGACGATGGTCCCCAAACCCCCCCCGTCTCCCCACGAATAATGTCGTACATACCCCCTCCATTTCGGCGAAAAACTGTCAAATGTTTGTCGTATCCCCGGGCTGATTGTTTTTTCCAAAAACCAACGCGTCCCCCCCTAGTATATGTACTCCCGGGGTAAGGTAAACATCTTCAGTCTTCTTTGCGACAACCTCTCGGGAATTTGTTTTCGGGCGATTCTTCGCCGCAAAGTACTAAGTTATCTTACCAAACCACAACGCGTCAGAGCTGACGCGCCCAGCGTTTTTCTTTTTCCACCGCACTTGGGACGACGATAACATCATTGTGTACTGAAGCCAATAGCGACGAATCGCTGTCGCTGGAGGTGTCGAATTTGTCGTATGGCTCCCTCTCCTTCCTGCGCCAGTCCCTGATGAGTTTGGCACCGACGTTGAGTACCTTCGCCGCCCCACGCTCTCCCACAACGTCCCATCGTAGTCAGGTGTAGCGCACAAGGTCAAGCGTTCACCTGTTATCGAAGCAGTAATACTTCGCGGTTGCAGACACCACTCTCAGCTCAAACGTCGTCGGGGGGTACTCTCTAAAAGACGGACCATTTGCTTTACTTTCCTTTATTGGCGAGCTTCGGATGTACGTTTTGGAAAATCCACTTTCATTTTTGAAGGGAAAGAGCTAGTTTATGGCCGCCACAAAAATGAACTTTCGACCCTAGCAAATTTTTTTAGCACGACGGGTAGGTGGCGTCTGATCGATAATTCGGGTGGCTCGATTCTTTGTGGTTGGAGCTCAAAGCGGGTGGCTCATGGCGGAGCGTGGATGGGTAGAAACGTGTTGCAAAGTATAGTATTAATCGGGGGCGTGCCAGTGCTCGTCAAACCATCACGGCATCTGGTCACGCCTTCACTCTTTGTCACTCAACGAATCTCTCTGAACCTTCACCAAATACCTCTCGCAACCAAGGAATATATGTAGAAGTTTCCTATTCTTCCGCATCTCATCACTGTAACTTTCGTACGTACGTACATAACATCTCAACCGTCATACTATGCTACGAGTACC